GGAAAGAGAAATGTAGGTTCAGTTTCCTTTTGAGCAGATTATAAATGTTTTAAACACGTGGAGTAAATGTATCAACCAAACTGAGCATATCATGTTCTATGGTGTCTCACTTTCCAGCCAGAAAAAGTAATTCAAGCAAAGTTCTGCCTTTAACGTTGGCAGAAGATAATTTACCTTGAATCACCAACAAAGTCATTAGAGACAACATCCTCTTCTGTGTACCCAAGGATTCCTTTCAGTGGGCCCTCTGAGGCAAACCTTCATATTTTTCATCGGCAAAGGCAACGAAATCATCCAAAAGGTTAATACAGAACAATCCCAACAGAGTAAAAAAGTCTGAGGAAAAAACCAATAGACATACTTTATTGCTGCTTTAACATCTTCATAGGAAGCATTCTTCTTAAGCCGGCAAGTCAAGTCCACTACAGAAACATTGGGAGTCGGTACACGGAAAGCCATTCCAGTGAGTTTACCATTTAGCTCAGGAAGAACTTTCCCAACAGCCTTCATAAAACGAACCCAATTTCATATATATACTGAAAATAGTAAGCATAAAATCTGTGTCCATGCATCTCTTACCTTTGCAGCACCAGTTGAACTTGGAATTATATTTTGACCTGCCCCTCTTCCCCCTCGCCAATCCTTCATAGAAGGGCCATCTACGGTCTTTTGTGTTGCTGAGAAAAGAAAGAATCAAATGTTACCAATGCCACATGTGAACATATAAAGGGACGGTTTGACCACAAGAATAAAAGAAACTAGAGGCTACAATTAACAAGTTTGCTAAAGAGACCTGTTGTTGCATGTACAGTTGTCATCAAACCTTCAACTATTCCAAACTCTTCATGAACCACCTGATGAATAACTTATATAGGAAAAGTTAGATAGATGCTTCTTGGCAAGTTTCTGATAAACAAATATGGGACAGATGGAGGGGCGAGCATCATGTTAAAATGTTTATATGGACTAAATTGTTTCTAACGCAAAATGCCCTGGTATGATATAAACTCAGGTTTACATACAGATGTGTTGGCTGGCCACCCCCCGCCAGCGCTAATGAGGTCATCTTGTACGGTTTGCTTATTGCGAACTGCAACATAAATTGGGACGACAACTCATTAAACGAGTCGATGGAAGAGCTCAGTAACCGCGTGAACCAACTCAGAGCCCTCCCTTTCAGCGATGTGGGGAATATCCGGCACAAGGCCGAGTCATCTTGGGTAGAGAGGGTCGCTTGTGTTAGGAAAACGTTCAAGTGCTCCTCGGGGTCGGTAGACCCATCGTACTTCTCGATTGGAAGGCTCTTCCAATGGTCCAACAGGGTTGCCTCCATTATCCTTCGAGAGAAAGGGTGCCTCAGGGAGTGAGTGGTGGTGTCGACCTTGTTACCTATTAGAGAAGTAACTGGTGTTCGGGTGACCAGCTGGTCGGTTGGGGCATGATAGGCTGACTCCTCTAGGAGTGTGAGAGTGGACAACACATAGGTTTGGTTCAGACTTCGAAGTTCGGCGTTCTGTTGACGTAGTTCAGCCAACTCCCTGGCATCGGCTTCCCTTTGTCTTCGGATGGCTGCCATTTCCTCGCGCAATGCACGCAAGTCGTCGTGGAGGTCGGGCTGGGCTCTGTCAGTTTTCGGCCGGACCTCTTCTATCACAGGCTCCGGCTGTGTCTGAGGCATTCCGTACGGGTATCGTTCTTGGCCAGTCATGATGGGATTGTTCTCGGGGTTAGGGATCGGTTGAGTCGATGTCGATGGTCCTTTGCGTGTAACTACCATGTCTCGGTCACAGTCGTAGAGTTCAAATGGGCTGAAAACGTCTCTTCAGCCCCACGGTGGGCGTCAAATGTTCTTGTGTTAGGATACACGCTTCCTTTATCCTGGTTGTAGCGGATCTGGTCTTGGGTTTAGGTCTTCTCGTCCTTCTCCGAGTAGTCCGAAGTGAGGGGGGGTGCCTGCAAAGACACTCCAACACTCAAGTAAGTGCTCGGCGTAATAAATGCGATAGTTAAAATTTGGTTACGTACCTCGCAGGAGTCCTATTTATAGTGTTTCTTGTTGGGCCGTGATTAGGGACTGAGCCCCGGGAAATTAAGGGGCTAATCCAATGCATTATGTAAATTAACCTCTCCATAATTATCCTGACATAAACCCGTAATTTGGCCGAGCCCGCCGACACGTTCGGATCAAGTATAAGGTGGTCGACGGTCTTGGCTAGGTTGACCGGGTCAGTCGGGTCGACTAACATATGGTATTGAAGGCATGAAAGCTAAAATTGAAATAGGGGTAAAATAACATAATACCGTGACAACTAGTATACGTGTTCATTTTTTCTTAATGATATTTAATTATCTATATCTATATCTGTTTTTTGCATATACATTATTATTATTATTATTATTATTATTATTATTATTATTATTATTATTTTTAGAATTTCAACTTTTTAAATGAAAATTAAAAACTGTTAAATAGGAGTTATTATTAAAGGTTA